TGCTTCACTGTCATAATTCTTTACCTTTTTTTCTCAAAAAAGAGTTGCAATATGTTTTAGATTGTCTAACGATGGTCACTAAAAAATCCAAATTCATTTGTTTGAAGATCATCACTAAAAAAATCCAAATTCACTTGTTCGAAGATCATCACTAACGAATCCGAATTCACTTGCTTAAAGATCATCACTAAAAAATCCAAATTCACTAACGANTCATCACTTTTCGGTGATAAAAATGAAAAATGTCCCACTTCCCTTAAAAGTTTGCTTCACTGTCATAATTCTTTACCTTTTTTTCTCAAAAAAGAGTTGCAATATGTTTTAGATTGTCTAACGATGGTCACTAAAAAATCCAAATTCATTTGTTTGAAGATCATCACTAAAAAAATCCAAATTCACTTGTTCGAAGATCATCACTAACGAATCCGAATTCACTTGCTTAAAGATCATCACTAAAAAATCCAAATTCACTAACGAAGCAATGTTCTCTGACAAATCCAAATTCACTTGCTTAACGATGGTCACTAACAAATCAAAATTCACTAACCAAGCAATGATCACTGAAAAATCCAAAATTCACTTGTTTAACCATTCCAACAATGGCCAGTAAAGAATTCAAATTCACGTGTTTATAACGATTCAATTCGTTCAAAACGATTGAATTCAAAATGAAATTTTTGCAAATTTTAAATCCATTCAAACCCAGGAAATTGTTTTCTTATTCAAATCCGAAATCTTTCAAAAATGAACCATATTCTCCCATAGCACTTTTTGATAACCAATCGAATTTTATTCCTTGATCGATAAAATTTGTTAAACTTTTCATTCTNACGATGGTCACTAAAAAATCCAAATTCATTTGTTTGAAGATCATCACTAAAAAAATCCAAATTCACTTGTTCGAAGATCATCACTAACGAATCCGAATTCACTTGCTTAAAGATCATCACTAAAAAATCCAAATTCACTAACGAAGCAATGTTCTCTGACAAATCCAAATTCACTTGCTTAACGATGGTCACTAACAAATCAAAATTCACTAACCAAGCAATGATCACTGAAAAATCCAAAATTCACTTGTTTAACCATTCCAACAATGGCCAGTAAAGAATTCAAATTCACGTGTTTATAACGATTCAATTCGTTCAAAACGATTGAATTCAAAATGAAATTTTTGCAAATTTTAAATCCATTCAAACCCAGGAAATTGTTTTCTTATTCAAATCCGAAATCTTTCAAAAATGAACCATATTCTCCCATAGCACTTTTTGATAACCAATCGAATTTTATTCCTTGATCGATAAGATTTGTTAAACTTTTCATTCTTTGTTGGACTTGTTTCGTTTATGAATTTGAATTCGTTACTTAGTTGAAATTGTTTAGAAAATGAATTTGGATTTTTCAGTGATCATTGCTTGGTTAG